TGATCTCACCCAGTTTCAAATAAACACTCAAGCATTTGCCTTTTAAAACACTGTACCTTAGAGTATTGCTACCCATTCCTTTTACTCACAAACTTGTTCAGTTATTTTGAAACACTTCCTTCTCTAATACAAATAGGTCAACAAGATTCAAAGCTAAAGGAAGAAAAAACCCACTACTCCTCAAATTGGGGGTTTGTTGGCAAAACCCATATCTTAGCTGCCTCCCTACAATTTTTCTGTTCCAGTTTGAACATAAACTGAAAAGTTGTTAGAGAGTCAAATAACTTTTTAAGCCGTAAGCTTGAAAAGTTATTATATAGTAAAATCCCTTCCGTGTCGGGCGTGCTCAGAATTCAGGGGGAAATGTGCTTTCAAGTTGTTCTTATGGCCTGGACCAGATGCTCTAGGGTGGCCAGAAACCTTTGTCTACACCCACTTAGCAGATTTCTGGCCCTTTGTCAGGGACTAAGAGGTTTATTTGCAGAAATGAATCATTTCCTTCAAAATATCCTTTACCCTATTTACATGCTTGCATATTCCTTCCATTTTGTTTTCCCCCTGCAGCTTTACTAAGGGAATTAATTATCTAGAAGAACAGGAACATACAGTAAGTACATCTGAGATACAGGATGAGACACAGTATGTCATCTATTAGGCCTGGCTAAGACCAGCAGCTGATGCTAAATGGGAAGGAACATGCACCAAATGTTTTTTAATCACAAAGTTAGTAATTAATTGCTCTTTAAAATACATTTTATGCTTCTTTCTGTCTGTGTACATGAAATGCACATTTATTACATGCCAAAAATTACAACATTATGGTTTAAATATGACTGGCACGGAAGTCCGGAAATCAGAGTTAGTGTTCCCACAGCAACTTTAATTCTGTCCGTGTGTACATGTAGAGTTCTCATCGTCTTCCGTTCCAGGATAACACATATAGATGTTTTGGGGAGGGAGGCTAAAGACCCATATCCTCAACTGTAATTACAGGAAAAAAACAAAGGATAAAAGCTGTGCTCCTTTCCACATACGTGGATGGAAAACAATGTCCCCACGCCGGGTGTTGTGCAATCAAGGAATGAAAGACTCGGCTGTGATACGGGCACTCAAGGGGACAGTTTCTGTTGCTGTGGGAACCTGAACTTTGCATTTCCTGACTTTGGGATAATTAAAATGTCAGCCTTAATGTGGCATTAATGGAGTTTGCCGTAAAAAAAAAATCCTCTTTGTTTTGTTCTCTAAAAAATTGCTTCGAAGTTCAAACTGAACCAAGCGTACTCAAATTTTTAATCTTGGGGACTTGGATGGGGAAAGCAAAGGGTTGGGAGGGGGAAGGCCGATGAAGGCGGATGGCAAGACAGAGAGAAGGAAGAGTCCCCTCCCCCCCCTCTCCTCGACAGTGTTGAGCCCCAGCAGAGTCATGCTACCTACAAAGCTCAAGTTAGACCCACCCACACAACAGTTTGGTAATGTGTAAAGGTTAAATTAAAAATAAATAAAAACTGTTAATGCGTAAGTGCGTTTTGGCAAGGACACAAAAAATGAGACAGGCAGATGAGGCCAGAGCAAAACATGGGAAGGTAAGTAACCACGCAAGTCAGCTTCCAACAGAAGAACAGGTAGATCCACAGCCATAAGTAAGGAGGATGTCAAAGGGGGGGAGAATCCCTTCTCTCTTCAAGGGGAGCCTTTTTTGGGAGAAAACAAAATGGGAGAAAGATGCAAGTAAAAGTTGCGGTCGCATCTATCATATGTTATGTGACTGTGCAGTGCTGCAGCTTGCTTGTCGTCAAGAAGGGTCTCATGTGGAGAGCCTTGTCTGCTCTCCTGACTTGGTTTAGTCCTGTGTCAGCGTTTGAAGGGAGATCTCAGCTCAGCTCATCCTCAGCCTGTTCCGCAGGGAACTGTTGTGTCAAATACGTAGGGGTTTTGCACCCTTTGCATTCCGCAACTCATCTTAATGCCTCCCATTATCAGCATCTGAGTTTGTTCACCATTAGCCTTTTAGAAATGGTGAAGAGGTGACAAGCTGGGAGGTAATGGGGAAACATTGCTAAAAGGAAATTGTTAGCGAAGAGCAGCACGCATTTCAGTAGCTATCTTAACCTCAACATCTCACAAAGGAAGGCATTTCTCAACCATATTCTTTCTGGTTTTGACTATGACTGGGATCTTTCACCAAATTTGAAGTGTCTCAGCAGGTTAGATAGCCAACTGAGAATTTACGGGGTCAGACTTGTCCTCTGTGCTCTAAAACGTGGTCTGTGCCCTTCAGATGTAAGAGCACGGTGGCTTACCCGCCCTCCCCAGTTCCTAGGCAGAGCTGATTCTTCTTTTGTGGGGATGCTTTCCCATCGTATTTTATAACCTGGTCACCTACACGAGGGGTTGCACGTTTTCAAGATGCCTATTTAGAGCCAAGAATGACATCTCTGGGCTTGGAACGGAATTCAGCTGCTCACAGTGAGAGCAAATCCATAAACACCCCTCAGTGTCTGAATGATTTAACCACTGAGCAAGTCATTTCTCTATCTGGGTGTCAATTTTCTCATCTGTAAATTGGGAAGAATTCTAATGACAGACGGGAAATGGGCATTAAGGCATGACTAAGAATACTTTTGCTAAACACATGACAAATAAAAAGGTGCTATAAAAATTCAGGCACTTGTGAAAGCTTGGAACACCACACACTGGTGGAATGTTTTTGAAGTTAAAGAGACTAGCAAGTCAAGGGCACTATTTTTAAATGCCCCAAATCTGCTAGTTCTAAATAGGAACTGAATATTTTACCTTAAAGAAATTAGGCTTTTAAATTAATCTATGGTAAGAATGACATTTGAAAGTAAAAAAAAAAAAAAAAAATCCTCTTGAATGCAAGAAGAGCATCCAAAAATTTTAACAGCTTAAAATAAACCTCTTTCCTGTCTTCTCTCAAGCAATCTCCAAATGGACAGATTTCTGTGAATCTTTCCTAAAAACAATTTTCTTCTAAGTGTAGGCTCAAATCAGGACAAACTACAATCCAAATATATTTGGAGAACAGTATAATCAATTTACACAACAGGTTGGAGCAGAGAAGACTTACGCATCTTAATGGCAAAATCGAAATGACTTTCTAAACAGCTGGAGATTAGGTTTCTCCTCCCTATTTGTTCTCCTTCCAACTGCATTCAGACATTGAGCTCAGATCCACAGGCTTCCTCGGGGTCACCAAGGAGCTGTGTGGTGGCACCAGGCTTCTACAGTCCTTGTATGTATTCCACGCTAACCCCAAGGCCTGGTCAGAGGATGCTTATGGTAACGTACAATAAATGAAGCCCAGTGCTTTTTCTATTCAGAAAAACATTCATTTGGCTGCAACAGGGGATTTCTGGGCTAAGGCCATTCTATGTAATCTTCCCCATAAGGTGTGGCAGGAAGCCAGACGATGAAGGTCTGTGTGCAGGAGCTCCAGGCCTTTCTCTGCAGGAACAGGCTACCTTCTTGGTAGGTAGGGACAGTGTGCACATGTCTATGGGCACTGTGCCATGCTATTTTCCAATTCTTCCTGTAATTACTATTAGGCTGGAGACTGCCAGGCAAGAAGGGCCAAGGATGTTACTCTTACGATGGTCCACAAAACACAGTCCTCGCTTCTGACCTCCAGGTTTCCCTATGGAAGCAGCAACTTTGTACTAATCACATGGGCTGTAGAGAGTTGGATCTCGTTACTTCTCTTCATTTTCTAGCGACAGCTGGAGTGCGGTCTCAGCCCAGACACGAGTAGAACAAGCTTCCTTCACCCCAACCCCAACCCCTAGGTCTTGTCCCTTTATCTAGAGATGATTATGATGAAGCAAGCAGAGAATGGAATCTCCCAGACTCATTCACCCCTTGCCCTCTTTGCAGAGTTCGACGTTTGTTTTGTCAGAATAATAACAGTAGGACATTTAGAATCTCATTTCCTAATTAATAATTTTTGTCTTTGTGGACAGGAAAAATGGAGTCCTTTTTGAAAATAAAACTTTCTTGGTCTTATCTTACTCATTCTAAAGAAGAATATGCTAACTTTGCCTGTTACCAGACATCCTTTATGGATATTAGTTCAGAATAATTGTTGGGTATCTGAAGACTAAAAGGAATATTCTCTTGAATTGGACCCCAAAGTTATTCCATTCTTTCCCTTTGTCAACATACATGTTTTTTTTCTCTCTGAAGTATTGGGTTACGTTTCAGAAGCAGAAAAAAAATCTCCTAAACGTGATTTATCAACTTTCTTAAAATAGAATTTGAAGAAGTGACTCCCAGATTAGTGAGAAGACAGAAAAAATAAACAGCAATGGAGTGATTTCAATAGCGACAATCTCATTAAGCTGCCCATTTCCAAATTTAGCCTGTAGGCAGTTTTTTTAATTAAAAAATATTTTTAACCTGAATTCTTATTGGCTACGTGAAGTCTGGGTGGCTTCTGAATTCTTGGAAGCCATTCTCTTTTCTTCTGTAAATTTTATGCTATCATTTAACCATTTCAAAATAAATTAAAAACTGGAAAGACAGAAATTCAGCCAAGTTCCATGAGACTCCAATAACGAATGCAAAGCTGACTTGTGTTATGTAATTTTAAAATGGATGTTTCCTGGTGTCTAACTGGTCTTTTGTGGTCCATATTTGGTGGTTCAATTTAGTCATCGTAGAAGTACCGTTATTCAGATCACGGGGACAAAAGAATAATTAGAAAGCAGCAACACAACTTCTTTTGAGTTAACGTTATGAAAGAGAATGTGGTTCATGTAATTAATCAGCCTTTTGAGGCCAAATGACTGGTCATCTGGTTTTAAAATACGTTCTAGTTTTGAAAATATAGATGTTGGCTGAGTCAAAATGGTGGCAAGTTACTTCTGGCTACTTTATAAGACCAAATGGAAACAGTTTGCTCTGAACGCAAAAAAAGCCAGAACCCAGGGGAGAAGCATGCTCCAAGTGTGGCGAAGACACCGTCACCTTACTGGTGTACTCACAATCAGATGACCCGGTGTGAGCGCGAGAGTTTGTCAGTGAATGTGTTGAGTGGATGAGGGCTGGGTCTGGAGACAAAACAGCTTCAAAGTTCAGGCAGGGAAGGCCCGGCTTGGCGCTGGATCCACCCGGCTGAGTAATCTCATTCTCCTCAGATGCCTTCTGGTTTTCAGCTGTCTTGGGTTTCTTCCTGAAAATAAACAAAGGGCCCTTTGAAGGAACTGACTGCATATTTGGGAAAAGGCATTTTTAGAATCTGTTAAAGATAACTTGATTTTTTTTTCTGAGGGGGGATGGGAGGGAGTCCAGTATGTCCCTTGTTTTAAAACAAGCTGATTCTTGTTTTTTCCCTCCAGTAATGGCCTAACTGGGAACACATGAAAGCATATGGGCCAAGCAAACAGCACCACATTTGGACTCTGTTGGCTGCATAAAAAGACCCTGTCCCAGAACTTAGACAGCTTGAGCTACGTATGGCTGACATTATCCAAGAAAGCATCCTTTTTTTTCCCCCTTAAGAGTTTTAACATGGTCTGGAAAAATACTAGTGGAGGTTTACCGTTCTAGCATTTGTCAGGAAGCTTAGAGACAGGACCCGTGGAGTAATGGGAGGAGCACTGGACTGGGAGTCAGGAGACTTGAGCTATGGTACTAGCTGTGCCTCTAACTTGCTGTGTGGCCTTGGGCACCTCACTTCACCTCTCTGGGCTTCAGTTTCCTCATCTGTAAAATAAAGGGCTTGGATTAGAAGGCCTTAAAGGTTCCTTCCAGCTTTAAGTCTCTATTCATGGAATACATCATGGAACATTCAACTTTCTTGCTGTTATTAGATTTTATTTTGGATCAACACATAATTTCAAATCACAATCTAAATTTGCAGGCTGTCCAGATGAGAGGGGGTAGTGATGGAGATTTTTGTTAAAGTAGCAAATGAAAAGTGAAAAGAAGAGCTTAGTTGCCGGTAGGTAGAGGGAAGGTGTCACAGAGTGAGCCTCTATTCCAACTCTTTACTCATCCAAAGCTTAAGATTCCCTTTGTTTTTTGATTTAGCGCATGATCCTGGAGTATAGGAGTCTGATTGTGTGTTTGGGATGTGAGGAAGAGATGGGTAAAAGGAATTAGAAAGTAATGGTTGCTAATTGTTATTTGGGGTCAGGAATAGGGAGTCAAGGAGCTCAGCTATTGACCAGGACAACCCCAGGACAAGGCAACAGGTAATAAAGGAACAAATACTTAGCTTACACTGCATATATCCAAGGCCCCAGACAAACTGGATTATTAGTCAAACCCTGAACATTCTCCCCAATTTCCTTGGCTCTGTGCCTTTTTCTATCACTATGTGCATGGTGACCAGAGAAAGTATTTTATTTTATTTTTTGGTAGATTATGTGTGGTACAGAAGTTGTTGTAAGTAGATTTGTCTCTGTGTTTTCCTTGCTTCTACAAGCATGGCAATGGACTTGTTATACAGAGTATTTTGTGTTGAAATTTGTTGTACTGGGTAGTTAAATCTGCCCTCGCAGAATATGGTGTTATGATTAGCATGCTGTGCTTCTGGTCCAACAGGTTGTGAAATCAAATCTGCTTTTTCAGAGGGCAGGAGGCAGAGATGGCATCGAAAGATGAAAATAGAGGGGAAGCTTTCAGACATAGTTTTCAGTAGGGAGGAAGCCAATATAAGAGAAGCAACAAACTGCAATGCTTTACCAACTGTTGAATCGGCGACTATGGAACTAACCCCCAAATTTTGAGCATCTGCATGGACCTCCAAGGAGCTGGTTTCTGGTTTTCAGTTTAAGAAAGTATCCAAGATCAAAGTCCCCAAAGCCCAACTCCTTTTTCCACGAAAGCCAACGCCTCCTCTAAGGTCCCTTCTTCTATCACTGTTGTCTGTCACCAGGTTTGTCATCAGGCTGGAGCCCCAAGGTCATGCACCTTCCTCTGCCTTAAAGCCAGTTTGTTAAGTCCTGACAATCCTGCTTCCTTCATGTTGTTCACATCTATATTTCCTTTCCATTTCCATCGCAATCACCTTAACACTTTTTATTGAGACTATTGCTTACTTTCTGGCTCTCCATCCCCCTCGACTACTCTAGTCCCACTTCTTTGTAGTCACTAAATCTGAGATGACCATGTGAGCCTGACACTCAAGCTGAGTTCTGTATCTGCTCTAGCCTAGCTCACGTGCCCTACATCTTGGCCATACTGGACTCTCAGATTTATTGAATATTCCCAGAACATCCTGGGGAATCTACATCCTTGGCTTTACATCTTTGCTCAAGCTATTTCTCTTGCTTTGAATGCCCTTTTTTCAGTTCTAACTGTTGAAATCATACGTATCCTTTATATTTATTAAATGTTGTCTCCATCTTGTGACTGTCTTGATTCCTCTCCACCAGAAAGAACTCTCTTGCTCTTTCTCTCTGAAATTCTCCTCCCTCCCACCTTTCTCTGAAATCTCCAAATACTTTTTACTTCTCTGATTTTACTCACTAAATTTTGTTTAGGTAATGGTTGTTGATGCGCTTGGCCCTCCCGTGAGACTGTAAACTCTCTGAGGGTAAGGAAATGTTCTAGTTATTTTTGAATTCCCTGTGTTCGTTGTCCCTTCATCCTTCCCCCCATCACTCATTTATTCACATATTCATTTTACAAATACTTATTATGTCCTATGATAGGCCAGCATGGGTTAGGGCATAAAACAAGCCTGGTTTCTGCCCTCCCAGATTTTGCCATCTAGTGTGTACCGTTAAGCTGAGTAGCTTAGACAAAGCTGTCATTCAACATATGTTTGTTGATGGAATGAAATGGAGCTGAAATTAAACTATATTTTGAGAATAGTCATAGTCTGAACCCCAATTAAGTTTCCTGCTCTTTATGCAGCAGTGAAATCTACCTTGACTGGCTGCTTTTCCTCTGAATCCACGAAGGGCATGATAAGAGTAGGGCCATTTTGTTCATGAAAGCTAGACTGGTCCTCCCGGTTCATTTAAATATTGGGATGAAGCACGAATGACAGATATCACTTAACAGAAAAAAATATTTATCTCTGATGCTCATTGACAAGGCCTGGGCTAGTTTCAGATGTGTGCTTCAGGAAATTAAGGAAGCCCTCTTTCAAACATGAGTACACGGCCAAACAACCAATGTTACTGTTTTATTTTTAATGTTGCAAAAATTGTATTGTTCTTTATACAAATGCCCTTGCTTTCTTCCATAGATTTGATCCTGCTTCCTACCTGACATCTTGCACCACACTCTCCTGTTTGTTGTCTCAAGGATCATCTTTGGAGAACATTCATAGCACAGAGACATTGGAACCACCTCTATGAACAGAAAATATCAAAAACTCAACCTTCTGGCTCACACCCTCATTTGCCTAATATCACTTTACTTGTCCTTACACCATGGGGCTGTGTCCCAACTGCAGAGATAATGGAGAGCCACTCACTGTCCTTAGAAGCAATTCATTTTCCATCTCACTCTTTCTGATAGTTCTTTTGGACTCCTTTTTCAGGAGCTGAGAAACACTAAAACTGAGCAGCTGTCTGTAGACCTGTTATTTTGACCCCATTTTTGCAGTTCATAGTTTATTAAGGAGGAAAGAGCAAGTCCTGTAGTAATTAATTGAAAATACCTTTTTCAGTTGTGTCAAAAGAATTACATAAACATGGCACATCTGAGGGCGGCTCTCCGACTCCGTGGCTTGCATTTCTCCCTGGAGCCTTTAGAGGGCAGCAGCACACCAGCTGAGTCCAGGCAGCATTTCAGAGAGGCAAACTCCCGACCAGACCAGAACCTTCCTCCTGGTCACCATGCCAAAGGTTGCTTTGCCAAGCGCTGGCCGCTCAGCCTCTTTCTTTTCGGTTCTTGTTCTCTCTCTCTCTCGCTCTCTCTCTTTCTCTCTCTCTCCCTCCCTCTCTCAATGTTAAAATTATACACTCTGATGAAGTCGCCCCTCAACCGGAAAATGAAAGCTCCAATGAGAAAGTTAGACAAGCCCACAACAACAAAGAAAGAAACCAGGAGAAAGGGGAAAGGGGGCTGGGGAGGGGGAAGGATTTCAGAAGGAGAAAAGGGCAGATGTTTTGTAAATATATGCAAAGCAAAACTGGGTGTACCCCGAACACTTCCACAGAGAAACAGACCAATCATTGTGCACTTCCTCCCGCCACATTGGTGGAGCTCTGCATTCAAAAAAAAAAAAACAAAACTGTGGCCGCAGGCACCTGCCTTTCAACGGATAGTTCTGACATTCTGACTGAATTTCTCCCAATTGTCCAAAGAGAACAAAAACATTTTCATCTCCTGACTGCAAACATCTCTGTGATGTTTGCTGTGATGTTTGAAGCAGCAAAAGGCTGCTTCAAGAACCAGGAAGGCTTTTTAAGGTGACTGGCGGCCGAGTTAGCCAGCAGGACCCACTGGCTTTTAACTCGCATTGTGCCGGCCCTGGCAACAAGTTATGGGCTGAAACATAGCAGTGAGTAAGGCTGTGTATGATGTTGGCGCTTTGCTTAGTAGACCATATTGTATGTGGAAAGATGCATTAAAACATATTGATGACATGGTAGGTAATAAGCATGTTAAAGGCATGGAAATTAACCAGATCCGTGGCATTTGATGTATATATTTCACACTTCTTTGCACATATTGCACACATACAGTGATGGCAATGCTTTCTGCAGCATATGGAAAATAAATATTTTATCTGTGTAAGCTCTTATCAGGCTCCAGGGGCTGTTCAGAGGAGAGTGCTCTCTTCGACTTCCGTCTCCCAATTTTCTCCCTTCACTGGGCTCCCACCCTTTCCTGCACATTAACGTGCCTTCCACTTACCAGCCTGGTTGGCTAGGAAAGAATTAGTCAGAACCTCCTTTTGATAAATAATTACTTAGTCATTGGATCATGATAATTTAGACCAATGATGTCCTCCCCCAATTTTTTTGGAATGATAACCATTTCCTTACTCTCCTTCCCCATAATACATGGAAAAGGCTTAGTAGAGTGTTTGGGGAGGGGGGCAAAGGAGAGGTGGTAACAAACTACCCCAACAGGGGTTGGTGGTTGAACTGAGCTTCACCATCGAGAAGCTGTGTGCCCTAGCCAGATCATTCTGTTTCTTTGGGCCTCAGTTTCCTCATCTGTAAAATGGAAATAATAATACCCACCCTCTAGGGCTGATGTGAAGATTTAATGAGATAATTCGTGTCAAGTGGTTGGCACAGTGATGGCACACGGTCAGTGCCCACTGATGGGAGTTCTCTTCACAGAGGGCATCAGTTACGTGGTTTTTGTCATTTCAAGTATAAGGAGGCACTTCCTTTATTTAGTAATCTTTTTAATATCTAGATTTGGGCAGGGGTAAATGGATTGTAATTGCAGCAAAGGCAGAAAGAATGCTAGGATAAGCCATCTCTTCTTTCACACTTTGATCTTACCCTATTACCCTCCTGATACCTTCTTTCTGTTCACGTGTTTGTCATTGCCGCCGCTCTACCAAGAGTTCCTCTTGAAGTTGAGGGTCCAGCAAGCTACACTTGGCCCCCAGAAGCCCTTCGTGCCAGAACACTACAGTCTATTCACTGAAACCAACCTTCGACACTCTCGCTCATCACGTTTTCTTACAACTTAACCTTTCACTACTTGGTCTAATGTTTCAGATCCATTTAAGCTGTTTTTGTGATTAAAACATTTTATTCTCCCAATTTTTTTTTTTAACTTTCTTGGCAGGGCTGATTTTTAATGTTTTTCAGCGTATTTCTCCCTCATTGTATCAGTCCGGATCCTGGCAAGAAACAGATGGCTCTCTCAAATGTTTGAACTGAAGAGAGTTTAGTGAAAGGACTGTAGACTGAGGGGCAGATGAGGTTAAGGGACCCTCTGGGGATGGTGACGCAGCAGGGACTAGCAGCAGTGGAAAGCTGTTAATCTCAGCTTTAAACTGTTAAACGGAAGGAGTAAGGGAAGGCGGGGTGTTCTCTAAGTCCAGTCAGAACTGGACTTGCGAGGGGGGCTGGACTAATAAATGCTGTGACCTCACTCTCCTCCCACTCTCTCATCTCAAGCTGATGTCTCCTTTTGGCCAAATTCAAAGGGAAGCCAGAGAAGAAGAGAGCCTGAGTAATGCAGTCCAGAAAGGGCCGCCTCCGGGGACACGATCAGGGCAGAGGATGATTCCAGGGCTGTGTGTGTGTGTGTCAGGGGTGAGGGGAGACGAATCAGCATACCTGCTCTGTCCCTTCCCCATTCCCTTCACACTTTTCCTCTCAATTTTACTTTCTGGAAGGAAAGTCACAGCAAAACAAAATGAAATCAGTTCTTTCTTAGCATCCATGTTCCTATTTTGTCTATTTGCCATTTGCGGAGGAAGAACACTGAACGTCAGCTCTGTGAGACAGGGATTTTTGTTTTGTTTGCTGCCATCACAGTAGTGCCTAGAACAGTCCAGAGCGCATAGTAAATTTTAGCTGATTGAGTAAATCTGCTCACCTCTGCTGTGCCAGACACTATATGTACATTATCTCATTTAATGATCACAACAATCCAGGTCAGAAGGCAGGGCAGCTGAGCACGGCTGTCCAAGTGATGTGGGAGTGGGTAGGTTTTAGGATCTAACACTCGCCCCCTCCCCACCCACCCCCAAGCCTTCAGAGACCTGGTCCAGGGCATTATCAACCCACAGGAAGGGACTCATTTTTGTAACTAGTCTACCTTTTCATACTTGATTCACCTTATTGGTTTTTGTCCCTAGCAAGTCTCTTAAGGTTTATGTTTATTTCTGTTTTATATGTGAGGGAGCTGAGTTTCTGAAAAGCAGAGACCGCAAGGGTTAGAACCCAGTCTGTCCCCTCTCTGGGACCTGTGAACTGTGAAAGCAGGCGCTGGCATCCTGCACAGGTGAAATTCTCCGATGGCAGAAACACATGCTCACTGGGGGCTTCCCTGTGATTGTCAGGAAGCCTAGGTCCTGGGTTCTGGGTCTGGATCTGGGTTCTCTGCAGCACAGGAAGGTAGCAGTGGTCAAGACTGTTTCCTCTCCCAAAGGATACAGGACCTTTGAAGCCTGTCTGCACGTTGGTACAGCTATGCTGCTTGCACCCACACAGTTACTCTGTGATGGAGAACAACTCAGACAACTACCCAGATGTGGAAACTTCTAAGGCACTCCTTGCACTTGACCTTAAAGATGAATGAAGTTGTCTACACAAGTAAGTTCCTTGCACGGGTATGGAATGAAGAAACTCAATTTTTGACCACCTGTCATGTCTAGTCCCCAGTCACTTGAACCCTTCAGTACTGCAGAACACTCTGACGGTCCCCCTCTCCGTTCTGGCCAGGCAGGCCTGCCTATCATCTACACATCCGCTGCCATCAAATACAATGCAGGTCACTGAAAGCATCAAAGGTAAAAAGCAACGCAAAACAAACAAAACAAAAACTGGAGCTTCACCCCTCTGGGTTTGATGTATGCCAGAGTAGCCAAAGACATAGAAAACATGAATGTGAAAATCCTACCTGAAGCCTAAGAGGGATGTTAGTCTTCCAGGTTTAGTGTTTTCCAGTAACAGAGATGTCTGTGAAACACCATCTTGTTACCTGCCTCACACCATATAGGAAAACGTGTGAATACAACAGCTAGAATGAGTTTTTGTTTTCCAATGTATAATTAGGTAATTTTGCATGCATAGCCTCTAAATAGTTTAAATGTCTGGCATTTCTAGTAAAAAAAATATATATTCACCTGTTACTTTTAGCAATGACAAATGAATAGTTGACATCAACCTTTCATCAGTATTTTCCTGTAAGCCTTATATCTTCTACCCTGACTTATTTCTGCACCTTGCCTTGCAAGGGTTGTACTTCCCCTACATAATGCCTGACATGGAGGGAACTAACCAGGTACACAGAGCCATGCACCCAGAGGGCAGAGCTGAGCTGGATACAATGGCTTAGAGATGTGGCTGAAGGAGCCCAGAGCCCCAAGGGGAGGGCCTTGGTCCCTAGAGTAGCAGGGAGGCAGCAGCGCGGGCACAGAGATGCAACTGACAACAGGCAGACACGGGCGAGGAAAGCGGGCTCACGGATTTGACCAGGGTGGCATGAAATGACAAGCTGCAGGGAGCTTCAATCAAGTGTCACGGAAGGGTGATGAGAGGCAGACAGATAGGGCTGCAGCTGCCACTGTTTCAGGTACAGCCACTGATGACCAAGCAGAACAGCACCGGTCCCTGCAAGGTGTGCTCAGATCCAGCTCGGCACAGCCGCTTGGCGAGGAGGGCACGATGCTGCGCAGGGCATGTGCTGCGGGCTGGAAGCTTAGAACCACTGCGGGCACCTCGGGACTGAGTCTGGTTATCTCGCTGCACCCAAGAGACGAAGCCATCTCAAATTTCACCTGCTTTTACAATTGTGTGGGGCTTTTTTTTCTTCTTTTTTTAATTAAACAAAGTGAACTAAGAGGCCTTTCATTGGAGGCATAATGTACTCACAGTAGTTTCCAAATAAATGGTGTCACTCTTCAGGTAAATCACTCCAAGGCTTGGGCCTAGTGCAGATGTTCATTGGGGCAGGGAACAGAGAGCAGCTGCATCTGGATCAGAGAAGAAACAAACAAAAATAAGGCTGTAAGATGAATAAGTGATGGTGATCATTCATTTTGATGGAGACGGAACTGGGGGGCTTGGTTGAGAGGCTGGATCCGCACCTTTGCACCAGAGAAGGGAGAACAGGCTCCATTCTCAGTGCTGCTACCTGACTGCCTGTAGGGTCTGAGGTCATCAGCAGCACCCTGTCAGTGCACATGGAGTTGACTTTGTGCTTCTGAGCTGGAAGCGGAGGTCAAGGGTGAGGGTGGGGGAATGGGCAGTGTCCTTCAGCTTGACCACAGCCGACTCTTCTTCCAGCCTTCTTGACTCCACTGCCGTCTTTCTCTCTTTAGTGCTCAGTTCTTACCTGTTCTCAAAACGCCCACTGACCTGGCCACGTTCTGAGCTCTTGCCTTCTCTTCATCCTTCACTACGAAGTCTCCATTTCCTCCATATCCTCCAACCCTGAGGAGTTCAGCCTTAGGGCTACAGAATTGACTCCTGTCTGTCTCAGACCTCTAACCCAGAGGTCTTTTCCCAGGCCTTGCCCCTGTGGCCACATTGGGCTCCAGTGATCACTTATTCCTGCAACTCTCCTCCCTTCTCGCGGGGACACTGCAGTATCCTGACTTTCCACCTACCTCTCGGCACTCCCCTCTGCCTCCTTCACTGGCTTGTCTTCTTTCTCCTCTTCCCTAAATGTAGATATTCCTCAAGATTTTCTCCTCAGGCTTTGCCTACACCCACCCTCCCTGACCTCAGCAATTGCTTCTCCATAAAGAACACCCACATTGCTATCTTTAGTTCTTGCTTGTCTACAGAGCTCCAGACCCACATTCTAAATAACTCTGGTTATTGGTTCACTAACTCATTTGCTTGTTTATTCATTCATTCATTCTGTGTTTACAGAGCATCTATGAGGCACCTGGAAAACACAAATAAGGTGGGGCCTCTAACTTTGAGAAGCTCACCTCTGCATCAAATACTGCACAGGCACTTCTAATTCAGAAAGTTTAAAACAGAATTCATTGCCTTTCCCTCAAAATATATTCCTTCTCCAGCCTTCCCATTTCCTGCCATTAGCACCATCTTCATCCAGTTACTTGGGCCTACAATGAAGGAGTCATCTTTAAGTCCTTTTGTTTTGCTTCCCATATCCAATCAGCTGCCAAGCCCTGTGGTTTTTACTCAGGCTGTGTTTCCTGAATCAGCACCTTTCTATCCCAACACCTATTTATCCCTTTATCACCTGTTGCCAGGATTTCTGGGAGAGCCTCCTAACTGGCTTCCCTGCCTCCAGATTCTCTTTACCTCTAGCCCATTCTTTATACCAATGCTACATTAACTGTTCTAGGGTATTCTAAACATATCACTACTTTGCTCTTTCTTTACTGGATTAAAGTCACACTTCTCAGTTTGGCATTCAAGGCTCCTATAATATAGCCCCAATATAACGTCCTATTCTTCTCTCTACAATCTATTCTACACTGCAGCAAAGGCCCACTCTTTCCCATCACATGCCTGGTGTTTCCTCCCTTTTCCCAATGTCTACATATAGCTTCTTTAAGAGTCATCCCAATGCCACTTCATTTCTGAAGCATTTCCCAAAGGAAAGAGCCCTTCTTGAATCCTTACACACTTTTTGCACTACTCCCTCTGCACGTTCTATGGATTCTAATAATTATTTGTGTAATTTGTTGCCCCCCTCTATACGCTCCTGGAAGCCAGAGACAATTTTTACTTTGCATACCCTGTAGTGTGCAATGCCTTGCACACAGGTCAGCGCTCAGCTGATGTCTGCTGAACCGAATTTAAAAGGAATAAAGATTCTTGCTTAGAGTCATGGAAACTGAGACTGAGTTGGAAAGACCTTAAGCTCATCTATTCCAACCCCCTCATTTTTCGGATGAGGAGATTAAGGGAACTGACTTGCTCAAGGCCACATCCCTGTTAGTGGCTGAGCAGCGATAACTGATAGAAAAGGTCACAAATCCCTAAATATCTCTCAGCGCTTGCTTAGCACCAATAGGCACAGCAGACCATCAATAGTGACCAGACCAGAGAGAGTGAGAGGTTGGGGTGCGTACCCTGCAAGGATATACTGGCTTCCAAAAAATAAAGAACTTTGTTTCACTTATTCACTTCAGCGAACTGAACTTATAAATATCTTTTTATAGTTCCATGACGTCCAAAAAATGAGGGTGGATTTAAAGAACAAGGAAGCAACCCTTTCTAACATTGCCCACAGAAACAATTATGACAATGTTGCAAATACCAGTGGGGTGATAAACTCAGGGTGCAAACCAGAATGAAGGAATTTCTCACGCCTTGGAAAAGCAGTGGGTTCAGCTGAAGTTCTTGGTGAGAACATGGTGCAGTAATTCTATGGTTAAATTCATTACCTCACAGAAACATAGGCTATTGGCAATCTTGCTAGATGTCACAATAACACTTCTTTTTCCACTTAGCTTTGCCCAGCATTTATCCTCCAAGTTTGTTTAAATTTTTACTTATTTTTTTCATTATATCACTTATTTACTTGTAGAAATGCATAGATGACTGCTCCCAAGTCTGTTCTAATTTTCTTCCCCGGTTCTCCTCTTGGGGTAGAAGGAACATTAATTGTTTAATCTTCTCTCTATCCTCATCCTCAAATGGAATCATTTTCTCTCACCCAAAGATGAAAAGCCCAACAAAACATGTCGTGGGGATAATAGTGTTTACCTGGGTGAGAAAAACAGACTTTTCCAGGGGATCTCAGGCGTTTTTACTTAGCCAGAAAAACTCAGCTCTTAAGTGTTAGCCTACAGTTACTGCAAGACTCCATCTGCCTCTCCCAGGTGAGCACTCTACTCACTGTTACTCACCAGAGGAAAAGCGTGGTCTATTAATCATATTCTTTTTGGCCAGTACGGTGGAGCCGTGCTATGCATTGAGACATCCGTTAAATAGCAATACCCCAGTAGCCACATAGACAGCAAATTGGGCTCTAGAGCTCTTCCTAGTTCTTACTAAACCATCACATGGCTGGACAGGCTATCACTTCACCAGACAGAGCTTTCTTCTCTTTCTCCCCCTGTCAACTACATTAAAACGATAAAGGAAATCATGATCGATATGTCTAGTACATTGCCACGCAAAATCACCTGGAAGCATACAAATCCATTGTGTAACTAGATAGTTTTAAATATGCCTAACATTTGATTTAAATTGTGCATTTTATAATTAAATGGAGACATAATCTTTCCGTCCTTTAATCAAATTCCTCTTTCACAGCCCCACATCCTGCTGCTATGATCTTCCTTTCACTTTTTTTGGCAAATTGTCACCTATCCTTTTCTTCTTATTCCCCCTCTTGCCTTAGCACACACCTGAGGGTCTGTTAATCAGAACTCCTGCATGGGGTGTCATGTTTTATTGCCTAAAGGGTGGTTACACTCTCAAAAGACTCAGTGAAAATGACTTCATGAGGGTTCATATTTATTCTTTTTCAATGACTTCCATATCCAGTGTACTCAGTTTTTAAATCAAGGGATAATTTTGCAAGGCTGCTGGTGCCACACATTCTTCTCAGAATCTGGAAATCCGGCTGTTTTCTCTGCCTCTTGCATCATCACTGTAATAAAGAATCTGCTCTTGGAACCCTGCTGGCAAGGTTCTCGATGGTGTCAGAGGCAGAGGAGACAGTAGGTCATTTCCATTCCAGTCTGTTTTATTGTTGATGCCTCTGCAGATATCTTGGAAGCCCTTAGAGAGCAGAGCTGTTATGTAACACATTGCCACATATCACTGTAAGGAACTTTCTGCGGAGGCCTTATTTCAATATGGCCCTTCCCATTCTTTGGAAAGCACACCAAATCATTCTCAAATGACAGATGTGGACTTCATGACTACAGCTTACAAAAAAAATAATAGTAACAATAATAGCTACCATTCGTTAGATGTCTAAATTTTGTTAGGGACTGCATGAAGAATTTTTATATGTAAATACATTCGCATTTAATCTCACAGCAATGCCATGCTGTAGGTGTTAGTATACCCATTTTACAGATGAGGAAAAGTGAGACTCAGAGAGCTCAAGTAACCATTCCAAGATTAGAAAATTGTGGATAGTGAGGCTGGAATTCAAACCCAGATTTCTCTGAGTCTAAATCTGTGCTTTTTTCACTATACAACACCTGCTCCAACACAGCATGGACACATTTCTAGTTCCCACTGTGATCTCAGCACAAGAAAGATGTTTATGCTATTTCCATGATGGTTCAGAGCCACTGAAGGAACCGGGAGCACAGACCTCAGGTGACAAAACTCTTTCAGAAATTACCAGTAAGTATAGCTCCTTCCTAGCTCCTTTCTATTTGAAGAGGAGAACAAACATCTTATAATGGTCTCTCAAACTCGAATGAACAAATGAATCACCTAGGATTTCTGATTCAGCATGTCTGGGATGGAGTCTGTGATTCTGCATTTCTAACAAGCTCCCAGGTGATGCTGATGTCACTGGTTTGGGTACCACAGGTTGACACTCGCCTTCCTGCCCAGGGTTGTTTTTGAAAGAGCAGTTCAAGCTGAATAACTTGGCTAACAGCTCACACGGCACGACTGGCTTCTGATTCTGGGCCAGTTTGTCAGGCCATCAGGCATTAGATGGAATTCAAGGAGTTTATGGCATAGAGCACATTATGAAAAAAAAAAGTTTCTAGATCCCCCAGGGCTTTTCTCTTCCCCTTTGGAAATTAAAATGATAATGTCTCTAACATGTAAAGTTCCTATTTTTTACATTATTGTTATTTTTAACAATAATTATCTGGTAATAATTCAAATAACACCTTTCCTCTGAGAAATTCAATGAGCTTTACTAACCTTAATTGTCTAACAGCAATTCCCAGGTGCAGATAAAGCTGTCTCAAAGATCATAGTAAATTTAAAATTGTTCCACTTCCCTCCTTTCTTTGCCCCAAATGTAGCGATGAATTCATGCTGACGGATTACTAATCGGCAAAGA